CAACAACATGTTTCATTCACTGTGCAGAGGCATTTGAATACATGGATCACAACAAACTGTGGTTAACTGTGAGAAGAATGGGAATCCCAGAACACTTGATTGTGCTTATGCAAAACCTGTGCTTGGACCATGAGGTAGTCATCAGAACAGAGCAAGGAAACAAAATCAGGAAGGGTGTACACCAGGGATGTATTCTGTCTCCATACCTTTTCAATCTATATATGCAGAACAGATCATCCGGGAGGGTGGGCTTTATGAGGAGGAGTGTGGCATCAGGATTGGAGGAAGATTCAGCAACAACCTGCATTATACAGATGATACAACCCTGCTTGCTTTTTGGAGGACCTGAAGCACTTGCTGCAGAAGGTCAAGGACTGTAGTCTTCAATATGAATTGACACTCAACATCAAGAAAACAAAGATTCTCACTACTGGACTGATTGGCAACATCATGATAGACTGAAGAAGAGATTGAGATTGTTAACAGCTTTCATTTGCTTGGCTCTACAGCCAACTCCCTTGGTACTAGCAGCCAGGAAATCAAAAGACAAATTGTACTGGGAAAATCTACTGTCGGGAACCTCTCCAGAGTACTGAAGAGCAACAATGTCTGTCTGGAGACTAAGGTGCACCTGACCCAGGGCATAGTGTTCACTATTGCTTGCTATGCATCAGAAAGCTGTACAGTGACTAGGGATGATAGAAAGAGAATTGATGCCTTTAAGCTGTGGTACTGGAGAAGAGTATTGAATATACCATGCACTGCTTGGAGAACAAACAGGTTTGTCCTGAAGAGGGTCAAGCCAGGCTGCTCCTTGGAGGCAAGGATTCTGAAGCTTTGTCTGACTTATTTGGGCCACGATGCAAAGAATGACCAGTCCTTGGAGAGGGACATCATTCTTGGGAGGCTGGAGGGACAGTGCAAGAGAGGAAGACCTTGATGAGATGGATTGATTCATTGACTGAGGTAATGGGGGTAGTAGGTGTTTCAGAAACATGATAGAGCAGGGTTCAAAGCTGTTGTACATAGGGTCACTATGAGTTGTAAGCAACTTGACCTAACATAACAATAGCAACAGTAACTACATTTAAAAATACAGGGACAACAGGGACAAGTGCACATGCTCATATACATATTCTCTCTCTCTCTCTCTCTCTCTCACACACACACACACACACACACACACACACACACACAGCCACCCCCACCTGCTCTTTTTTGGTTCTTTACGCTGTTGTTAGCTGTTGAAGCTGCCCCTAACTCATGTTGACCCTGGGTATGAAAAATTAATTTTCCAGTCCTGCCCAGTCCTGCACCACTATGATCAGTTGTAAATCAGTTCATTGTTATCAACTGACTAGTATTTTTAAGAAGTTTTCCAGTCTTTCTTTCTAGTCTGTTTTCCTCTACAACGTCCACTGAAACCTGTTCCATTTCATAGCAAGCCACAGCTCCCACTGACAAGTGGGTGGTTATTTCATTTGAAGTTCATTGACCAGGAATTGAACCTGAATCTCCCTCATGGACAGACAGAATTCTACCAATGAACAAAAAATGCAAACTCTTTCACAGTATTTAATTTCTTAGCCTTGACCCCCTTTTTCTTGGCCTCCTGGAAAAATATTTTAGCTACACTTCTAATGCTCTATCTTTATGTAGCCTGGTATGTATGTGTGTGTGCTTGTCTCTCATCCATTAGATCATGATGAGCTCTTCGAGGACAGAGACTCTGTCTCACGGGTCATTGTTGCTTAGGCTCCTAAAACAGTATATGACATGCTAACATAGCTAGAATATTCATGACCAAATATCAACATGTTTCCCTCACCACTGCACCCAGTACAGCTGTCTTTGGCCTTTTAAGACATCTGACATGCCAGGCCAAAGTGATCTCATGAATTATGGCATGAGAAGCAACGAAAAGGTTGAGGTAAAAGAGACCTGGGAAATGACAAGGAATTATGAATACAAGTTGTATCTACAGCAAGGACAAGAATTGTAAAACAACTGCCCAATTTCTTTTTAATGCACAATTTTTAACCTTTCTCATCTCCAGTCATCCTATTTGTCTCAGATTTTCTACAATATTTAAAGTGTTTATTAACAACTGTGAAGAGATGTGTGTATATATACTCAGTCTACCATTCTCTAACTTGACTGATGGTTCTTATTCTCCATACAATTTTGAACCTAAGTCGGCAAGATATCTCTTCATGTCAATAAGTCAGCAACCGTTTTGGATAGAGCAAGAGGTATGATGAGCTTGTGAATGAGGCAATCAGAACAACAACTACTATTTCTCGAGTACGTACAATAAGCCATGCCCCACACTAGGTACTTTTCGTAGATCATTTCACCTAGCCCTCACACTAAATCTTTGCAATGAACAAAAATATGCCCATTTTGCAGATGAAGTCAATGAAACTTTTACAACTTTCTTAAGGTCACACAACTAAAAATAATTAAATATAGGATTTGAGTTAAGACGTCTGTCTTGGTCAGACTTGGTTGCCAAAAATCAAGGACATAAGGAGATCACTCTGAAAGAGAAAAACTTAGTAAAGATTCAACCTCAAATTATAAGTTCACTAGCTATTATAAGTGACTTATCTAAAAGACTAAGGATTTTACTACACTTGATAAACAATTGAGCTGTGACACTGATGTGTCAAATGCGTTAATGGTTGGCTACCCAATGCAGACAGAGAGTGGGGTGGAGATCCCCAATTAAAACAAGCTTGGAAGGAGGAGTGGCATCCACTTCCATAATAGCTTGCCTCTGGAAACCCTATGAACCTGGAGAGAGGATGAAACGCACCCAAGCGTCGAGGACTCTCCTTCATAGTGGTCACTATGAGTCGCCTGCAACTCGACGGCACTTAACAACAACAACAACAACAAACAACTGAGTCTCTAGGCTTGGTATCTTCCAATGAAGTAACTCATGGTGTCTTCCGTCTCTCAGATTTCTTTATATGTCACACTATATAGAATTCTAACTGATGTTTTTCTAGTAAGGTTATTTAGAAATTGTAACTCCTCTACATCATTAAATGCAATGGTTGTAGTGGTGACATAAACAAGCCATACAACTACAATTTAAAATTACAATAGCAGATGCTGATTAAGCCATGTGATTCAGAGTGCTCTTGTAAATGAGCAATGATGACATCTTTTACCTGAATACATTAAAGGTTCAAAAAGAAAAATCGCTTAGTTTTAGTCTTGTAAGTATACTGATACACATAAGTCATTATGAAAAATGTTCTTGTTGGTAGAACTATTTGGAAATATTTTTATATAAGATTCATTTCTGCTGAAATAGTGCACAAAAACGTTATCATTTTATTTTGGTGTTACCCATCTGATAATGTTTTCCAGTGCTGTCTGCACCTCTTGTACCCATCTAGAGACACTCTTGTTGATAAGTATGTAGCATTCAACAGACTTATAAGGGTAGCAATCAAAGACCTTGAAAACATGTTAACGTTGACCCCAATTAACACCACCAGGCAGACTCAGTTTAGCTGGAATATCAGATAACTGCTACAACATCTTTAAAGTCCCAGGTTCTGTTTTCCAGGATCATTGCTGACAGTTTTGTTTTCAGAGCAAACAGCCAGAATGGGATAAAAATCCCCAGTGGATATTTAGTCTCTAGCGGTGTCTATGACCCAACATTTAAGCCGTAGAAATAAACAAAGTCCTCCTGCCAAAAGATCTGTCTGTCATGTTGGTTCAGATAAAGATATACCAATTAAACAAAGTGAGGAAATTAACCAACAAAGTGAGGAGGACAGTTTCTGAGTAGAGAAAAATTCCATATCATTTTAAAAAGGCAGCAAGACAAATCTACTTTTCTATGGGGGAACAAAAAGGTTTAAGAATGCCTGGGGTGATGGGCTTAACTCTGACATCTGTGCTCAGATGCAAGCCTTTGGTAAAAGAAATGCTTATGACTTAATTTTGCAAGACCCAGCATGGGACCTTTGTTGGCCAGAAGATATGGGGACTGAGAAAATTGGATTAGAACGCCTGATATAAGGACCTGAGTGATCAAGTGAAACATGCAATTAATAAGCAACTGCACCAGACTAGTCTTTTCCCTGCTGATGTTTCAATTCCAGTAAAGAGCACAACTTGATAACCAAATCATCCACCCAGTAAGTGAGCTCACACTACAATGTAGCAGATTTGGCACCAGTTAATTGAGAAGAATAAATACTTCTTAGCTATAGCAGTCTTGAGATCATTAATGTCATCCTTTTTAAATAAAGGAATATTCCCCCAAAGATCAATTTCAAGAAGTAAGATTGTTACATCTTCACTTGTTATTGGTTCGGTTCCCTTAAGAATGACAGAGGAAGAATTGAAGACTTTGAGTTGTGGTGCTGGAGAAGAGTACTGAATATCCCGTGGACTGTCAAAAGAACAAACAGATATGTCTTGGAGAAAATGCATCCAGAGTTCTCCTTGGAGGCAAACATAGTGAAGCATCATCTTTCTTACTTTGGACATATAGCTAGGCGAATCTATTTCTTGGAAAAATACACCACGTTTGGAAAGATGAAAGGTCAGTTAAAGATAAGAAGACCTGCAATGAGATGAATTGACATAGCCACTTCAGCAATGGATTCTAGTGTGTCAGAGATGATGAGGATGGCATAGAATAGGGTAGGGTTCAGGTCAGCTTTTCATAGGGTTGCTGTGAGTTGTACTGGATTCAACAGCACCTAACAACCTTTATCTCACCACGTTTAAGTCAGCAACTACCTTCCACTTTCCCATCTCAAAGCTGTACATGAATTAGAGCAGGTCTCAGTGGAGATGTCCTCAATGTCCTTATAAGCCTTACTATTTAGTTCATTACATTGTATTAGAATTCTTCTTATGTCTAACCTAGTGAGAATAGGAGCTTCTTATCTTGTTCATTCTTGAATCCTAACATCTAGCATAGTGTCACAAACATGGCAAGTTTTAAAAAGAAGTTTCTTCCTTTCTGCCGGAGAACGCTGCCGAGGAAGCATCGCAAAAGTGTTTATTCCCACTGCCGCCATGTCGAAGTCAGAGTCTGCTAAAGAGCCCGAACAGCTGCGGAAGCTATTCATCGGGGGGCTGAGCTTCGAGACGAAGCATGAGAGTCTGAGGAGTCATTTTGAGCAATGGGGGATGCTCACGGACTGTGTGGTAATGAGAGATCCAAATACCAAGTGCTCCAGAGGCTTTGGTTTTGTCACATACTCAACTGTGGAAGAGGTGGATGCAGCCATGAATGCAAGGGCCCACAAGGTGGATGGAAGGGTGGTGGAACCCAAGAGGGCTGTCTCCAGAGAAGATTCTCAAAGACCAGGTGCCCACTTAACTGTGAAAAAGATCTTCGTTGGTGGAATTAAAGAAAACACTGAAGAACATCACTTAAGAGATTATTTTGAGCAGTATGGGAAAATTGAAGTGATTGAAATCATGACTGACTGAGGCAGTGGCAAGAAAAGGGGCTTTGCTTTTGTAACTTTAAAAAGAAGTTTCTTGAATGAATTCACATGCCCACAGGTGGATGAACATATAGACTATCTACATGGCATTCAATAGCTCAATGTTAGAAGATATCCCAAAGACCTTTCAGAATATCATGGATTAAAATGTGCCCCCCTTTTCTCACCCAAATATGCTGTATGTGGAAATCTTCTAAAAATTACTATATAAGTTCCTAGGAGTGTCATAACAAAATGAAAGACCTGGTGGCACAATGTTCAATCACTTTCTCCATCTTCATCTATCTCTAAGCCCACTCTTTTCTATTAAAACATATCATTAAGTCGTCGTTTACATAGGGCAATAGATTCGTGTGTTCTGCCATTCAGGTATCTTTCTCCTGAACTCTGCTATCTACAACATGTGGAGAGCTTGGGATTTCTTAAGTGCAAGAGGAAGAGGTGTGGAACAGCTATGGTTTCCAGAGGACAACAGTCATCCTACTTCAGGCCAAGGGCTTGTGGCCCAAAAGCCAAGAGGTCCTTCACAGAACATTGCCATACCCTGGTACATTATATAGTTACAACAGCCTACCATCTACTAAGAAAAGACTCACATAATGTCAAGAAAGCAGCAGGCTGCCTCAATCATTATGAAGGGAAAAAAAATAACCTTTCTCCTGAATAAAAAGCAGATCCAATTAATACCCCAAATAGAACCAGAAGAAATATGTTGATGTGGACTTATTTGAATAGGTACCTAAAAAGGCGCAAATGATGGAAGAAACAATGGAAGCCATTAAGAGAATGAATATCACAGAGACATGGATCCAGAAGAAATGTATTGATGAGGTGCAACTTGAATAACTATGGAAGAAAATGCAAAATATGGAATAAAGAATTGATAGTATAGATAAAGAGGTATAAGAACTTTAAAAAAATCATCACAAGGCATAGAGAGTACTGGAAATAACAGAAAAGCATGAAAATGCAATCCAGAGTATTAAAACCAAAATAGTAGAAGTGCCTAAAATGCTGGAGGGACAACAGGTAGAAGAGAAGAGATGGAACAGAGAGTCAGTGAGCTTGAAGACAAGAGATTCAATGGAAACATACTAGAAGGAAAATCAGAAATAAGACATGAAGACAACACTAGAATCATGTAAGACAGTATCAAAGGGAACAATATATTCATGATTGGAATTCCAGAACATGAGCGGTACAGGGAAGTCACTGAGAAAATTGTGGAAGAAGTACTAGAAGAAAACTTCCCAGGTGTTTTGAAGAACAGGGAAAATAACATTTAAGAAGCACCACAAACAAATGCCCCAAGAGAAAAACATCAAGACATAGAATAGTCAAATTCTCCAAATTAAAAGTTAAGAACAGAATACTAAAATCAGTGCAAAAAAACCCCCAAAGAGTCATCTACAAAGGCAAAATAATTAGATTATGTTCTGGTTTCTCAGCAGAAACCATGCAAGCTAGAAGACAATGGGATGGCAAATGTAGATATTTAAAAGAAAGCAATTGAAAAAAGTTAAAAGAAAATAGCCAAGGATCCTGTAACCAGCAAAGCTCTCTATCTTCCAAATATGAAGGAGAAATGAGATTCTTTGCAGAAAAAAATGAAGTAAAACAATTTATGACAATAAGACAAGAACTATAAAATTTTAAAGGAAGTCCTCCACACAGAGATGCCAGAGTAAAGTGGAAGGACCATAATAACCACAAACAACAGAAAAAGAAACACAGCAAAATGGGAATAATAAAACCTGACCTGAGAAAAATCACTCTTAATATGAATGGTCTAAATGTCCCAGTTAACTCTCAGGGAGGAGTGATAGGGAATGGCAAAGGATACACTGACAAAGAAGATTAATCAGAACTGGCTTTGACAAGCACTGTGGCATTTGGACAAGAACAAACTGGGAGGAGGGTAGAGAGAATAGTGCAACCATGAATGAGTGGAAGCCCAAAATCTCTGTAAATGTTTATGAAAATTAATAAAATATAATTATAGGAAAAAAAACAAAACAAAATCAGGAAAGGAAAAAAAAAAATAAATAAATGTCCCAGTTAAGAGACAAAGAGTAGCATTGTGGTGTTGTTGTTGTTGTTATGTGCCGTCAAGTCGTTTGCAACTCATAGTGACCCTATGTACAACAGCCCTAAACCCTGCTCTATGCTGTGCCAATCGCATTGCCTTTGACACACACATCCTGATTACCCCAGTCACTGAATCAAGCCACCTCATAGAGGGTCTTCCCCTCCTGCGCTGTCCCTCCACCCTCCCAAGCATGATGTCCCTCTCCAAGGACCTGTCTCTCCTTACCACATGTCCAAAGTATGTCAGACGAAGCCCCAGAATCCTTTACTCCAAGGAGTAGCCCTGTTTAACCCTCTCCAGGATGAATCTGTTTGTTTTCTTGGCAGTCATGGTACATTCAATACTCTTCTCCAGCACCACAGCTCAAAGGCGTCAATTCTCCTTCTATCCTCCCTAGTCATTGTCCAACTCTCTGATGCATAACGAGGGATTGCAAAGACCGTGGCCTGTATCAGGCGCACCTTAGTCTCCAGAGAGACACCATTGCTCTTGAGTAGTTTAGAGAGGTTCCTGACAGCAGACTTTCCCATCGCATATTGGATAAAGAAACAGGGCCCATCAATATTCTGCATTCAAGAGACACATCTAAGAAATGGAGAGAAAGACAAAATCAAAGGCTGGAAAAAGATATACCAAGCAAATGGCATCCACAAAAAAGCAAAAGTGACAATACTAATCTTTTGTTTACAATTTTTGTTATATATAGGGTTGTGGTGAGTCATCTATGACTCAACGGCACTTAACAACAACAACAACAACAACGAGACAGCTCAGTTGGCCTAGTGGACAGAAAGTGATGCTACCAAGCCAAAGGTGGGTGATTTTAACCTGCAGCCCTCAGCCCTGGTTTTAATTGGCTTTAGTCAAATATTCTTCTAAGTGGCATAGCACTGGTCTGTCCATTTGCTGTGCAGAGGTAACTCATGGTTGCTGTGATGCTAAATACTGTGACACTGATAAATCAAATATGATAATGTTTACATATGGTGGACAGTATTTGGTGGAGCCCCCTGATTAAAACAAGCTTGGAAGCAGGAGTGGTATCCACTTCCAAAATAGCTTGCCTGTGGAAACCCTATGAACTTGGTGAAACGATGTAAGTTATACAAGTGTTCAGGCCTTTCGTTCATAGTGTCACTATGAGTCGTCACTAGGTCACTGATGCTTCCTCTGTGTGTGTATAAGTTTCTGTAGATACACACACATACATACATACATATATATATATATATATTTATATTTATATTATAGACACATGCTGTTGCATACCATCCAGTCAAACTGACTCATAGCTGATCCCCAAGTAGGTTTTCAGAGGCAGAAATTAGCACTAAAGAAACTGCCTATTTTTCTGTGGAGTAGCTGATGGATGTGAACCATATGACTTTGGAATTCCAGCTTACTTCTTTCCACTAGGCTACTACATATGCGACTCATAGCAACCCTATGAGCAATAGCCCTGAATTCTGCCCTATTCTGAGCTAATCTCACATCTACCTGTAAAGCCACAGTTACTATGTCAATTCATCTCATTCAGGTCTTCCTCTCCTGTGCTATCTCTCCACTCTTCCAAGCATGATATCTTTCTCCAAGGATTGGTCCTTCCTGGAAACATGCCTAATATATGTCAGATAGAGCTTCAAAATCTTTGCCTCCCAGGAGCAACCTGGTTATTCTGTCTCCAGGACATACATGTTTGTTCTCTTGACAGTCCATGGTATGCTCAATACTCTTCTACAGCACCACAACTGAAATGCATCAATTCTCTTTCTAGCCTCCCCAGTAATTGTCTGGCTATCTAATGAATTACAAGCAAAATGTGAAGACTATGGGCTACATCAGGCATATCTTAGTCTCTAGATTTACACTGATGTTCTTCAGTACTCTAAAGAGGTGCATGACAGCACACTTTCCCAGTGAAATTTGTCTTTCGATATCTTTACTGCAGGTACCAAGAATGTTGATTGTGGATCTAAATGAAATTAAATTATTATTAACAGTCTCAATCTCTTTTCCATTATCATAGTGCTGTCAATTGGCCCAGTGGTAAGAATCTTTGTTTTCTTGATGTTTAGCTTCAATCCATCAGGTTCTCCTCAGTTTCAGCAAGCAGGGTTGTGTCATCTACATAATGCAAGTTGTTGATGAGTCTTCCTCCAATCCTGATGTGACATTCCTCATCATAGAGCCTAGCCTCCAGGATGATCTATTCTGCATATAGATTGAAAAGGTATGAAAATAGGACACATTCCTGGTATACACCCTTCCTAATTTTAAACTATGCAGTATGTCCTTGCTCAATATCACCTGTGAAAACTAGATCAAGTGCTGACTGTAGAACAGATCACCAACTACTCATATGCAAGTTTAAGGTGAAGCTAACAAAGGTCAAATCAAATCCACAGGAACCAAAATTTGACCTTAAGTCTATCCCACTTCAATTTCAAAACCAACTCAGGAACAGGATTAAGCCTTGAATACTAATGAACAAAGACCAGTTGACCTAAGGGAAAATATTAAGAGTCTTACCCATGAAGAATGCGAAAGATCATTACAAAAACAGAGGAGGAAAAAAAGACCAAGATGGAGGTCAGATGAGACTCTGAATGTTGCACTAGCGTGCTGAGAAGCCAAACTAAGGGAAGAATTCAAAAAATTAAGAAGCTGAACAGAAGACTTCAAAGGGCATTGCAGGAAGACAAAGCAGAGTATTATAATACAATGTGAAAAAGTTGGAGTCAGGAAATCTTGCTTGGCATTTCTCAAGCTGAAGGAACTGAAGAACAAACTCAAGCCTCGAGTTGCAATACTTAAGGTTGCTTTGGGCAGAATAGTAAGTGGTCCAGGAAGCATTAAAAGAAGATGGAAGGAATATACAGAGTTACTGTACCAAA